TGCACCAGGCCTCTAGTTTAGTATACAAAGTGAAAGTACAATCAGGAGAAGATTCAAGTGGGCTGATCGGAGAATTGTCTTGTTCTTTTAGAAAAAAGTCACAGAGGTAGAAGAAGTGAGTCAGTTGGGGTACATGGACTCAGAAAACAAGTTACAGAGGCAAAAGAGGGCCCTTGGAGACAGGTTCAGGTGATTAGCCAGGCATAAGCTGCCACTGCCTGCTGCTCTCCTGGTTTTAAGTCTCATGGGGACACTTACAGTTCAGGAGAAATAAAGGAAAGATACACCCCTGAAGAAAGTGAAGGAGTGTTTTAGAGAGAGAACATGCACTGGGTCCTGTCTTAAGGGTTTTTATCTGTTTTCTAAAGGTGGGAATTTTAGGGGAGGTCTCAGGGGAGGATCTCAATAGACTATCCACCAGCTTTCCAGGTATGTTCTTTCAGGGCTATGGTATCTACTGATTGGTTGGCACCATGGCAAGGAGTCTTTAGTTATTGCATCTAGTCCTGATGTCAGCCATGTCATTGCTTCATCTGTTTTTGCTGTTTTGCTGGGCCTGGAGTTGAAACACAACTGAGGCCTAGATGTTATCTCTAGTATGACCATAACCCTGTCTCTGTGGTCAACAGACCAGATGCTTTTTTCCTAAGATTATTTGATGCTGATCAGGACCTCATTGTCCTGAGGGCTTTAGGCTTAAGGGAGTGGATGTGCAAGGGAGAAGGAGGCAGGTGAGTCAGGGTGCTGGACGAGGCCAGCTTGAATCAGCTGTCTCAGTTTCCCCATTCTGCTTGCCAAATAATTTTTCTAACTTCTTACTATCCTGCCTCATTTCCATTTAAAATTTAAGGGCTTATAATTATAATTTAAATTTTTGTTTAAAAAGTAAAATTTTAGCCTGGCCAGCTGGTGTGGCTCAGTGGTTGAACATTGACCTATGAACCAGGAGGTCACAGTTCGATTCCCGGTCATAGCACATGCCCAGTTTTCAGGCTCGATCCTCTATGTGGGGCATGAAGGAGGCAGTTGATTGATGATTCTCTCTCATCATGTTTTTTTTTTATCTCTCTCCATTTCTCTCTGAAATCAATAAAATATATTTTTTAAAAAGTAACATTTAATTTAAGGTATATAAAATTTGTCTTTCATTACATGCTTCTGGAAATGAATTAATAAAACCATTTCTAAAATGTGGCAATTTTCCTTCTTCCTCACCAATACTTTCCACTTTTAACACATGCTAGTTTAAATTTATACTCTTTTACCATGGGCAAATTAAAAACTAGAATTCTCATGTTACTAAAAATGAATATTAGGATATTTAAAATTTTAAGTATAGTTGGCATACAATATTATATTAGTTTTGGTGTACAACATAGCGATTCGACATTCATATATTTTACAATGTGATCACCAACCACATTAAGTCTAGTAACCATCTGTTACCATGCAAAGTTATCACACTATTATCCATTACATTTCCCTTCACCTTTTCCACCCACCTCTTCATCCTACTCTATTCTGGCAACCATCAGATTTTTTTTTATTTCAAGAAAAACTATTTTAAATATAATAATGTTACATGCAGTAAACATTAATACTTCAAGAAAAACAACTTTAAATATAATGTTACATGCAATAAACACCAATTATTCTAGAAAAAAGATCTTACATATAATAATATTACATGCAATAAACATTAATATTTCAAGAATAAAAGGATTTTAGGTATAATATTACCCAAACTGTACTAACACAGTGTGATATCACAAAAGTTGTGATATAAAAATATTAAAAATCTGCAAATAACAGGATTACTTCTATTATACTCTAGAATATTTTTCCTCTCTCGCTGTATTTTTGTTCATCAGTTTATATTGTTCATTATATTCCACAAATGAGTGAGATCATATGATACTTATCTTTCTTCGACTGGGTTATTTTGCTTAGCATGATGTGTTTAAAGTCTATTTTGTTGGATATGAGTATTGCTATTCCAACTTTATTTTCTTTTCCATTTGCATAGAATATTTTTTCTACCCCTTCACTTTCATCCTTTGTGTGTCTTTTCTTCTGAGGTGGGCCTCTTGTAGACAGCATATAGTTGGGTCATGTTTTTGTATCCATTCAGCTACCCTA